GTGGTTCTGTACTTAGCAGTGAACTTACCCGGCTGGAGTCATCCCCGTCCTCTTCATTGATGGAGCTGGAAGGGGAGGGGGTGGCCGATTTGCTCGCTGGAGGTGAAGGAGACGTGTGGGGCAAACTGGCTCCTCCCAAGTTCAACCCCAACTGGGCACTGAGCTGAGACTGGTTGATCGTGGTGAGTTGGGCGGGAGGCATGATCCCGGAGCGGGCGGCATCCGTCATGTGGACGATGGACCTCATGATCAAGGTTGGATCCTGGCGGTACTGGGACACCTGGGTGTGGCTCTGGTCCTGGAAAGGCAACAGCAACGGAGGAAACTCCTTTAGTTTCCCCAATGTCAGTGCACTTCTGGGGTAGAAGGTGGGCGAACTGGGTGAAGGGGGGCAAAAGGTACCAATTCCAGTAATAAAACAAGTCAGTCATCAGGATGGGATGAACAGCATGTGGGGACTCTAGTTAATAATACTGCACTGCAGCTAATGATATATGCCAATTATACCTTGAATGTGTAATGTTTGCAGTTCCCTACAGATATTTAACCAGTTGTAATTTTGATGGGTCTGACTTATCCCAGGATGATGTTCTCTATTAATATATTAACTGTAAGGACTCATGCTAAAAAAGCTGAAAAGTCAAAAGCACAAAGCCCAAATTATCCAGCCAAGTCTATATCACTATAGAGGTGTCACTGGATGACTTAAAAGAATAATTTAAAATAGACTATTAGCACAGGAGTAATGAACTTCCAACTCGTGCTTCTTTTTTTATGTACACTTTTTATTGTCGATAGTATACAGGTATCTCCACTTTACCGCCATTTACACCCGTTCTCCCAGCCCCTACCCACCCCCCCCAGGTCTTCACCACCCTATTGCCTGTGTCCATGGGCTGTGCATATAAGTATATAAGTTCTTTGGTTTCTCTCTTCTCGTCCCCCCAACCCAACATGGACATATGTCAGTCTGCTCCATGCCTCCCTGCTTCGGATCTTCTTTTGTGGGTCAATTCATTTTGTTCATTAGATTCCACAAATAAGTGAGATCATGGGATATTTGTCTTTCTCAGATTGGCTTAGAACTCTTGCTTCTTGTTGAGGAAACGGATGACACGAAAAGGGGTGAAGCCGAGGTCCCCCACTCCGGCTCACCAGTGGGCTTGCCACCCTCCTCACACACATGGCTCTGGTTCCATTGCACAAGACCCAGTTCCGAGAGGAGAATTCCTTCTCTGTCCAGTCCTCCCAGGAACGCAGCAGACATGTGGAGAGCGTGGGCTGGACAAGAAACCAGCGAACATCTGTTTGCCTGAGGGCAGCCTTTCTGCAAAAGCCCCTGTGTTTGGCCAGAGGGTCGTTCCCATTAGGAGTTACAATGCCCCTGGCATCTGGGAGTCATTCCACGCCTTTCGGATTGGATATCCCTTTTTCTTTTCTTTCTTCAACCTGCTTTGTTTTCTCGTTCCACCCACCATGATTTTATGTACTAATGGGTGTTTAGAAGCATGTGTAACAAGGAGGCAGAGATCTTCAGAGTCCGCTTCTCCCAAAGTCACTGCAGTCCCTTCAGAGCCAGCCTTCTGTGTTCGGCAGCCATACGGGAGGCTGTAAGAGTGGTGGCTTTCTTTTTTTTCTTTCTTCTTCTTTTTTTAATTCCAAAGAGTCAAAAAATGAAGACATGCTTTTCAAATGGCTTACTTGAAAACCTGTCATTTAAAGTGGGCCTGTGATTTTATTGAAACCGAATTCTCTAGATGCACAGTGACCAGAATCTAATTGTATACCCCAGCCTGGGAACGCTGAACTGTGCCTCTTTGGAACCGTTTCTGCAGAAGGCTAGCGTTGTGCCCTATACAGAAACAGATGATTGTAAATAACTGAACGGGAGCACTGGGATTTGGAATATTAAGTCTATGAAAGGCCACTAAATAAGAAGCCACAGCTCTCAACAGGAAACTAGTAGAAGAAATGAGGTTTGCATGTATAGGCCTGGAGCAGAGCTCCTCAACCTTGACCCTTAACATATTGGACCAGAGATGCCTTTGTTGGGGGGCTGTCTTTTAAATCGTAGGATGTTTATAGCAATGCTGGCCTCTACCTCCCTGATGCCAGCAGCAGTCTCCCTCCCTCTCCCCACCAGTCATGACAGTCAAAAACGTCTCTAGCCCGGCCATTGCTCAGTGGCTCAGCATCGACCTATGAACCAGGAGGTCACGGTTTAATTCCCGGTCAGGGCATGTGCCCAGGTTCCGGGTTCGATCCCCAGTGTGGGGCATGCAGGAGGCAGCCGATCCATGCTTCTGTCTCATCATTGATGTTTCTCTCTCTCTCCCTCTTCCTTCCTCTCTGAAATCAATTAAAAAACACACACACACATATATTTTTAAATGTCTCCAAATAGTGCCCACCCAGTGTGGAGCAAAATTGCTCTTAGTCAAAACCACTGACCTAGACTGGTAGCTCAGAGATAGCAAGTGAAAAAGCAAGTTGCAAAATAATTATAGAGGACAGACCCCTTTTTTGTTTAAAAAGGGGGGAAAAAGTGTACATCCAAACGCTTAACAATGGTTACATTACAAGGACTAGGACCGGAGGAAGGAGGGGAGCAGTTTAACATTTTCCATTTACAAAAACACGAAACAAAATAAATAAACTAAAACACTTTAGTGTGAAATATCTAAAACAAAACAAAACAAAACAAAACCTACAAGTAGTTAAAATAGTCTGTAGCTCATTGCTAAGGTTGAATAGTAAAATATACAATTTTTCCTTTTCTTAATAATATCTGGGTTATCAAGTTCCTGTGGAATCCCAGAGAAATGAGTCACATGTATCAGAACAATCCCACGCTTCTCGGCCTCACTGACAATATTCCTTCCATGGCTCTTAAAATACTACCTCCTTCCTATTGGCGTGCGGCCCTCTGCAGACTGGTCTCACAGAGTGGATTTCACATCATCAATTTGTCCTCATTTTTTCTTAGCCTTCTCCTACACATTTAGCTATTTCTCTTGGAAATCATGAGCTGTCTGTCCACTCTTCCACATTCTGTTAAAGTTCGACCTTTGCTTGCTTACGTCACTTCCGTGCCCCAACTACTGGGAATGAAGGTATCTCATTCTTAATTTTACTCTCCATGTTCACCTCTTAGTACGCTTTTGAAAAGTCCTTTCCGACGTATTGCAATCTAAATATCTTCAGATATCTACAATGTCCAGAGTACATTTAAGCTAAGTAATTCAATTCTGACGGTATAATAATAAAGTAGTTTAATGGGCCTGGCATTAAACCGGACAGTATGATATACACACTCTCTCATTAAAAGAGGAGTTATTCTGCTCTCTAACCCCGATGCCTATGAAAATCAGCACCTACCGGTACTTGGACTCATCCCACACCTAGAGCACTTCGGATGGATCTCAAGGCCAAACAGAAGACCTAGCAGTCAGCTTTCTTGGCTTCCCCAGCCAGCGCTCCCTGAGGTCCACCTGCAACGTATGCCTTTCCTGTGGACCTGACTGCTTGGGAGCTGCTGCTGACCCACGGCCAGGGTGCACGGAGCCAGAAAGGAACACTGCCTGGATGTTACTATGTGCCAGGGTGTGCGCTAAGCCTTACATGCATGCTCTGAATCAACCCTCTAAAAAGCCTCCAGAATTAGGCGCTATTATACCCATTCTTAGATCATTGTGATTCTCCGGGCCACACAGCTACCCACAGACACCCACGGAAAAACTGCTCCAAGCAGTATGGTGCCTCGATGGTGGAGGCAAAAAGAGAGACGAACGGATCTGTGGGCTCTCCGTGGCCACAACCGCCTTTAACAAAAGGAACTCCATTGTCATTTGTTTTATACATTGAGATTGTCATAACATTTCACTACAGAAAAATGGGGTTCCTCTACAGCGGAGACAGCATGAAAAATCACCCCTGAAAAATACTGGTGATGAGGCCAAGGCCTTGCCAAAACATAGAGATATCCATGTAGCTTTCAAATGCAAAAGAACAAAAAACACAAACAAACAAAAATATATGCTGGCCCGATCTTTCTTATTGCCCACAGGGCATCTAAAATATGTCCTAGTAACCTCTGAACCACATAATCGATGCATCACAATCTGCTAGTGTTTCGCATGGCCCACCGTTATCCGATAATAACTTCCCATGTGTGAAGATTACAGTCTAAGACAGTGGTTCTCAATTCCTAATGCCGCAGCCCTTTAATATAGTTCCTCATGTTGTGGTGACCCCCAATTTCATTGTTACAAACTGAACATCATCAAAGCATAGTGATTAATCACAAAAACAATATGTAATTATATATGTGTTTTCCAATGGTCTTGATGGTCTTAGGCGACCCCTGTGAAAGGGTCGTTCGATCCCCAGAGGGGTCGGGACCCACAGGTTGAGAATCGCTGGTCTAAGAAGATTCATGGTGAAAAGGCCTCTTCAGAGATCCAAGTTCCTTTAGGGCCACGGATTATTAACAGCAGCCTTGGGGAACTTGGCAATCCTTCAAAGGGCCAATCGTTTTCCTTAAAAAAGTAACCTTGGAGAGACGTTCCCTTTGATGTTCGGATTTCCAGTTAAAACGAGAAAGGTGTCAGCTCAGTTTAAAGATATTTATTAAGCACCTACTATGTGCCAGGCCACAGAACCCAATATATCAATCCTCCTGTCTTCGAAAATGACCTTGTCATTCATTTCAACTCTAATTAAATGTAAATTAGAACGGACTAATAAATTTACTATGACAATGTGTAGGCAAGAATAATTCATACATACTCCTTCAAAATAGGATAAAACCTAAGGCATGCAATGCCTTTTTGTAAATCATTACCTCTTAGTTATTAAAATTCAATCCTGAAAAAAATGACCAATGATCACGGAAAGGCAAAGCAAGTAGTGAATTATAAGAGGACACTCCTCTCCTACCCAACAACAAGGGTTGAACCCTCACAGCCTTTTTCTACTCCTTTTCACAATTAGATTTTATATGTCAGGTTCATTGCATCGTTTTCTAAATTGTTCATCGTTTGGTTAAACCTCATTCTCTCTTCATGGTCTCACTCCATCCTATATAATAAAAGGGTAATATGCAAATTGACCGTAATGGCATTACGACTGAAACGACTGATCACTATGATGCGCACTGACCACCAAGGGGCAGACGCTCAATGCAGGGGCTGCCCCTGGTGGCCAATACACTCCCACAGGGGGAGCTCTGCTCAGCCACAAGCCAGGCTGACAGCTCCTCAGCAGCACTAAGGATGCCCAACTGATGCTTAGGCCATT